TAAATTAATTTAAGTTAGTAGCATCAAAGTATAAGGTTTAGGCTTCTGATAATCATCTTGAAAATTATATTTATGTAGATACAGAGCCTAAACGACTTCTGGAACAAGTGACAGGTAAGATTAATCGAGGGAAAGACAAGGAAATATAGGTGAGTGCATATACATAACATAAATATAATAGTATATTCAGTTCTAGACTTGAGATAAGTCTAGATTTAATACTTTGATACATGATTCATTTTATATTATGATACGTGACATGAATTCATATTATATGCATTATGTGAAAATGATCTAAGTAAATATATATGAAAAGTTTATATAAGCCATGCGATAAGGTAAGAATTTATTTTTCTACGACATAAAAACTATGTGAATTGTGAAATCATGTTATATAGATGAGAAATATAAGTATAGTTGGTATGCTAAGAGTAGAGGGTCTACGCGGTCCTTCGGGACAATTCTACATGGTTTTTCGGGACATATATGTATTCTTTGGAACATGTATGAGGTCTTTTGAGACACCTACTTGATCATTGGTATATGTATATGATTCTTAAGGAATTTATATGTGGCCCTTATGAACAATTTTATGTGGCACTACGGTGCAATTCTACGCGGCACTTCGGTGAAAATTTATACGAGCTGTGGTAGTAGCATAGTGCACAACCTCACAATACTCACATACCTCAGGTTCTGATTATGGTATCATGGGCTAGTGAACTTATTATATGAATTCATGATGGTTAATTTGATCAGATTATGGGTAAAATATATTGTTATGTAATTTGCATGGATTAAATATGTGATTTCATTACATTTCACATTATTATGACATTATCATTATGCCTCACTAAGTCTATGACTTAGCGTGTAAGCGTTTTACACGTAGGTACCGAAAAACAAAAAGATCCAGTATAAGCTCAGCAGAACAACATATCTCCAGTTGAAGATCATATCAAAGTAAATTACACAGTATGTTTTATTATGTGATAAATATGTTGGCATGTAAACAAAGTCGTTAAATTAAGTATATATGCTCTGATCGAGTTTTATAACGTTTTAAACGTAATTATGTAAATAGTAACTTTATAGTGATGAAAGTTTAAATTTTTATAAGTTTTTATATGTTGGGCTGAAATTACTATAACAGTGCATCGGTACACTGTAGCAGTGCATCGATACACATTTTAAATTCGATGGTTTTTGTGCATTAGTACACTGTAGCAGTGCATTGGTACACTGTTATAATAAAACAATATATTATCGTATTTTATTAATATAAGTCCAAATGTTATGTTATTTTGTAATAATACTGTTTTAAAAAGTCAATGTGACATCTTGGAATCGTATCCAGGTTGGGTACGAGTTGGGGGTGTTACATCGAAAGGATATGACCAGAACAAAGTTTGAACAATTTATTCAAATTAAACTTTTCGTCGTCACTTTCATCTCTATTGTCGCTTTAATTTATGTTGTTCATTTTTGTGATTTGCAGATTGGGAAGATTTGAATTTAGGTTTTGGGATGTGATTTTGAGATTTAATATTTGATTTAGGATTTTGATTTTATTTTTTTTATTTTAATCATATGTGGAATTGTTAAAACATATAAAATTGAAAGTTCAACAATTAAATTAAAAAAATTTAAACTCTAGTGAACAAAATATGAGTGAGATCATAATTGAATGATGAATTGTGTAATTTACCAAAAAATAAATATATTCACGGCTAAAATATCTTACCCTCATAGTTTTCTTCGAAAATTTTCTCTCATAGCCGCCGTGGATGTTGAGTTTCGTTGCTTCGTAGGAGGGCTCGCATGGGCCCAGTCACGTAATGAGAGGTCTATGAAGGACGCTATCGAAGGGATTAACAGTTAAAATCTTGACTAGAGGAATATCACCGTTAATGAATCCCAGTCCCGTAAAAGTGGATAAGGTGACAGTGGTTTCGGTGGTGGAAACGGTGGATATATCCGTGGAGGTGGAGGTGGTGGTCTCCAAGGAGGATATGGTGGTGGTGGACGCCCAGAAGGAGTGGATATGGAAATGATGATGGTGGATATGGTGGCGGACGCCGTGAAGGAGGATACAGTGACAGTGGTTCCCGTTACTCAAGAGGTGGCGATGACTCTAAGGCCCCGTTTGGTTCAAGGAATGTTGTATTTGTTAGAGTATGCCCAAAGACCAATCATATGATGATTGTAATAATACTTTTATTTACCAATTTTATTGAATAAAGGCATTGTCGCTAATATTTTCAGTTATATATATGTGTTTAACATAAACTAGAAGATAATAAAGTCCATATAATGACATAATTGTTATTATTAAATGATCTATAGTCAAGTATTATTATGGGCATGGACAATAATAATACGCTTAAGACTAACATGTTATTGATTGATGACAACGAGTTGTCATTGACATAGAGATGTCAGAATTGATACATGATTATATTGTTAGAGAACAATGTATTGGATTGACCCACTATGAGCATATGTCTTGGATTATTATGTGAGAGTCATAATATTGCTCATGGTGATGACTATATGTATGATCCTCAGACTTGAGATCAATATTATCTCAACATATATTGTTGTATGTTTTGATGTAGCTAAACAAGCTCCGTAAATGGTTGCTCTATAAAGACTGTTATTGAATATATCTCAATATATGTAGTGGGTATGTATGATTAAGATAGGATTTGTCCTTCCTACGTAATAGGAAATATATCACAGGCCACTTGATTGATTAAGACTAGAAACACATGGCCATGCTCGAATAAGTTGATATGAGATATCATAAATTATTCGTTAATTAAAGTCTACTCTAGATATCAAGAAACAGTAGATGGGCTATACAAGTGTGACTATTCCAAGACTTGTGCCTATTCTAGATATAAAGGACATAAGGATGTAATACATAAAAGAGTTAATCACCAAGATGATATGTTGAATCATATTTTCTTGTAAGTTATGTGACAATGATATATTGCTAGATGTCACTCATTGTATGTAATATTAAAATTGTTCTAGTAATTACTACTAACGTTGCAATAACCTACAGGGTCACACTCTAGGATTGAAACGAGCAAAGATGTACAATTTGTTGTACGATACTAAAATATATCTAGAGTTAATTAAGTATTTGATTTAATAATCCCGAATATTTAATTTCAATTAATTAAATATAGATTTAATTAATTTGAAATAATAAAATCCCTAATATGATTAGGGTAACTTGGATATAAAAGGATTATTAAATTCCAATTAATTAAATATAGATTTAATTAATTTGAAATAATAAAACCCTAATATGATTAGGGTGACTTGGCTATAAAAGGGTGTGTTAGGTCTAGCAGCCATTTTAGAGAACACACACAAAAACCTTCAGTCACTTTCTCTCAAAACGGTTTTGGGGGAAAACAAAATTGCTCTCAATCGGGTGAACTGAGTAGAGGTTGAGACGTGATTTCATGGAGGCTTACGATTCGAACCGATCTACACCACCATCATTCACTACTATCCTTGCTATTTTTCAAGGAACCCATTATAAGTATTTGCATCTCTTACTCCCGATTTTAGTTTTTCGTACTTGGATCGCTGGTGAGACCGTTGAGTTTGTTTCCGCTGCGCCATGGGGTGCGCCGACGGTCCCAACAATATTACAGGGGGAATGAAATCCTCATTCCCTCGTTTGGTTGGCGGGTAATCCCATTCCCGATAATCTTTTATTACCAATAGTAGATTTTTTGGAGTATATTACTGGGAATGTGATTACCCCTTCCCTTAGGTATTGTTGGATTACCGACGTTTTAGACTAAAATACCCTTAATTTTGTTTTTCAAAAATATTCTTCTTCTGTCGTTGAATAATAAAAATTCTATGAAGGTTAAATTACAAATTTATCCTTAAACTATTTTAGATTTACAAAAAAAGTCTATAATTAAAATTTTATATGAAGTTTAGGGGTTAAAATAAAATTTTACCCTTTCATTAAACCTATTTATCTTTTCAATTTTGTAAAAAAAATTATATAAATTTTATGAATTTATTTTTTTTAAAAATATATAAATTAATTATAGTAATATTATAGTAGAATTCAACTTGTTAAAAAACAAATATAAAATAAGGACAATTTGGTCAAATATACATTCCAATAATTTTTTATTCCTTTAACCAAACACGATAATCTTACATTCTTGCTAAACCACCAAACACAAAATACAACATTCCCAATAATCCTATTCGCTGGTAATCTTTTATTCCCACTGGTAATCTTATATTTCGTAAACCAAACGCACTCTAAAGGCAATTGGAGTTATTAAGGATTAGGATTTAAAATTACTCAACGATATACATAGATGCTATTTTAGTAAATTTTATTTTAATAATTAATTTTAAAAATCGATATATAAAAATAAAAACCTTTATTTTATTTCTTTGACAAGAATAAAAACATTTATTTTAGTATTCTGTAGTCAGTACTATTTATTTATTAACTAATTTAATTTTATTATTATAATTTGATTTTTAGAATATATAATTTTAGTTTTAAAGCTACTTTTATTATCTTCGTCAAATACCTTAATTTTTTAAGGTGACATTTTGATATCTTTGGTAGAATTTGGACAAAAATTTTGTACATTTAAAAAAATAATATGATACGATTTTTGTGTTAATTATAAAAAAAGCATTGTTTTCATACCATAATCTTTACCCTTTTGTTTGGTCTTTGAGAGTTTTAAGTAATTCTACACCTTAAGATCATTTATAACAACACTAAAACTTTAAAGAACCCAATAAAAAAGAACATATACATATATGATTGGTATGATAATTTTACGAATCTATTAAGTGACCTCAATAGTAGAAAAGAGTTTTATTTACGTTAGAAGTTTCAGTTCAAATAATTGATCTGCAGGGAGTGTGTGCGTTCATTATTAATTAACGAATAAAATTCTGAACATATATTATATTATAATCCCCAAACTAATAAAAAAAGACAGAAAAACACAGTTATGATGCAACTTTATTTAGTTCTCCTCAGAGGTGAAAGCCTTTCATCTATGGCCTCTCTTGTTAGTGTTGCATTGTTGCTGCTGCTGCTGCAGGTTCTGTTCAATTTTCTGTTGTTTTGGTGATTGAAAGGCTGTTTTTTCTTCTTGCTTCTCTTGTTTCTGATTATGATCCCTTAATTTGGTTCTCAACATATGGGGCCTAAGTTTATTCAAATCGGATAACCTCACCGGTTTCAACAAGAATTCCTCAGCACCTTCTTCTAAACATCTGAATCAAATATTATACCAGTAAATGAGTTTCGCCATGAAATGCAATTTCAAATGCTTGTATTTGGTTTTGTGTTTTTTTTACCTGGTGATCTTTGAAGGGACATTCTCAGATGACATGATAACCACTGGTATGTTTCTTAGAGATGAAGATTCCTGCAACAGAGAACAAACTTCTCACATCTATTCTATTTCTTATGATGGAAAAGTAAAATATTTTTGGACCGCCATGATAAAATCAAATCATGATATCATATTTCTATTGAATATGTTTGAGCAAGTGGCAAAATATTCAAGAGAAAGTTTCCCTTTTTTTCTCAAGCAGGTCTGCCACTTTAGGACCCATATTGCCAACTTTTTCCAATACAGTGTGCTACAATTACTAAGTTGGCAATGCAAAATCTCAAAAGTAAAAAAAAAAAATCCTAAAAGGTTAGTCGCTATAAATACGATGGACCGAGAGAAACTGGAGAGTGCAGTCACATCTTTTAAATTTTTAAATAATTTAAATATTTTTACACTTTATTTATCTTTAAAATTTTATATAATTTAAATATTTTTACACTTCATATATCCTTAAATGTGATAATTTCGTATTCTTAAATTTCTAATTAATATAAATTATTAAGTTACCACCTTAAAAATATGTGTATTTACCTAGATATAAAGTAAACAGGAATAAAGGAATACAATGATGAAAGAGATAGGAGACGATGAACAGAAACAAATCACACACCTTGACTTTCTTGAGCAAATCATAGCCAGTCATGCCAGGCATACAGTAATCTGTAATGACAAGATTCACTTCAACTTCCTATAGAACGCAAAAACAATCAGAAAAAAAATTTCAGGTTGGGTAATCTTAGATATTAAAAAGGAAAAAAAAATAATGAACCTGGTGATTGTTAGGAGAAACAGATGGTGTATTTGGGTTGATTGTTTCATCTTGATGTAAACCCAGAAATTCTAAAGCTTTGGTGCCTGAATCAACTGTGGTAACTGTCAATGAAATCAAAACGATTAGAGAAAAAAAAAACAGCAGAAAATCAATGAAACCCAAGCTTTATTAATGAAAGTTCTCCAAGTACCTTGATATGAAGAGGTTTTGAGTAGCCTTTCAATAAGCTTTCTTTCAATGATACTGTCATCAACAGCAAGAACATGAAACTGGGACTCAGCTGCCATGCCCATTGTTCCTGTTCTCTAGATCCAAATTATGATATTGAGAGAGAAATGGGATTGAGAAAAAAGAAGATGGGGGTGGGTGACTTGTGTTATTTGTCCTGGGGGTTGAAAGAAGGGTGAAGAAGATGAAGAGATTCAAAGTGAAAAGAAATGAGACCCATCAAAATCCACAGCCTAGAAAGCAGGATTCGAGCAGATTTCATCCCAAATCTTGCAAAATTTCAAAGTTGATTGATTTTTGAATTACGGAGCAAGCATGGGGAAGGGGAAATGAAAATGGGATGACAAAATAAAATAATGAAACAAATGGAAATGGGCGAGGTGGTCTTAAATCTCTTTATTATGGCCTTACATATTAGCAAATTGAATATAACTAAAGGTTGAACGCATTTAACAAATTCAATAATTAAAAGTAATATTATTTTTCTTATAAATTTTTGGTTGAAGTAATTGACAATATATAGAATATAAACGAATATTATCTGTTTAAACTATTATATATATAAATAATATTAATGACACCATTAATATCGTATTTCCGATTCACATACTACATGTTCATATACACTTTACATAATTCAGCACATACACAATATTTAACACCGTCATATTTAGACGCACACACAAACGATAGGATTAAGTCAACGCCTATATATAAGGACGACACATAAGTTTATATTAGAGATAAATTTTTAAAATTTTAAGGAAGATAAATTTTTAAAATTTTAATAAACAAAAAAACATATTATTAAAAAATATTTGAAATATTTGATAATTTGATATTTTTGGAGTAGGGATGGACCGAACCTTATATATTAGATATTTTCATTGTATTTTATATGAATTATTTAATTTTGTATCCTTGATATTTTATAATCTCGTACCCCTAAATTTTTAATATAATTTTTTTATGTTCGCACCTCTTGACACAAATTCCTGTGTCTGTCTATGAGTCTATCCCTCGATCAATTCCTATATATATTGTGCATTTTCCTTAGTGTGACATGTTAATTTAGGATTAGTATTGACTAACATCATTTTTAGGGATTTATTGTTAAAAATTACAACATATTAGGGATGAAATGTGTATAAAATAAGTTGAAAGGTGGTACAATGAACCGGGAACTAAAGCCCTTATTAATTTAGTTAGTTTGTGTAGATGTGGTTGTACTTTGAGATCTCCTTGGATAATATAATAAAAGCTGATCGATGGGTTGTTGTTTTTTTGGCACAAATAATTAATCCTTAATATAATCGCGAACACTATAAAACAGTTGGATTATAAAATTAATTAATGTTTTCATAAGGATAAAAGTTTGATGATTTAGTGATTAAGTAATTTATTTAAAAAGGTATGAAATGATAATTTATTCCAAATATAAAATACATATGTCAAATAAAAAATATCTATAGAAGAAATAATTTGTTAGGTTTGGCTTAGCTGCTCTAGTGATTAAATGATATTACATACAAGATGATTATCATATTTTTTTTCACTCTTTCCACTTGTCCTATTTTAATTTATCACAGTTAAAATATTATACACAACAGATATGTGTTTGGACAACGTGGAAGAGAGATGACGTTTCAATGGCCATAAACGGATGTGGAAAGAGTTGTAGTTGGGCTTCTGATTAGAGGAGATGATGAGAAAATGAAGGATGTTTAAAGATTTGGGAAGCATAAGTTTAGAGAGAGAAAAAAAATGATGAGTCGAAGAAGAAGAAAAAGAGGTGATGACAGATCAAAAATGATCTAATGTGGTCAAATGATGTCAGAAAAATCAGATTAATGTGCTACATCAACATTGTTACTCTGGTAATAACTATTAACATTCGAATAATTAATCTGTTATAAACCGATAATGTTGGTGATTAAATCACTCCTTTTAAAATAGCTGTTAATTACTCAGGCTTGGCAAGTTACATTCTAAATCATTCTCAACATGATATATATATATATATATATATATATATATATATATATATATATAGAGGCTTAACAAGCAATTATAATTGCGAATCTCAACATAAATAATTTCTTTGATAACCTTGATTTAGAACATATAAAATATTATTGTTTTTTCTCAATTTTAAAAGGGCTTTATATAAACTAATACTATATAATATTCAAGCTTTTATGTGGTGGTGAAGTACAGTTGAGGTATTATAGAATAATGAAAACCATGGCCTTGTTCCATTGAGCTATTCCTAATCCACCATAGCACGATAAACCATCATTTTAAACTTTGACTTAAAAAATAATCTAAAATGATCCCTTAACGCCTTGAGCATTTTTTTTATATAGTGTGAGATGATGATAATATAATATATGTTTAAAATCTTAGTAACTGATAACGTACCCACATCATAAATATAGTTGTTCGACACTAAATCTTCTAAAAGTAACAATATTATCTTTTATCACTAAAATTACTCAATAAATTCAATGCGAACAAGTTTCAAATGATAAAATGGTCTAGATGATCATATATTACCTCATTTGCCATACCCTTTTAATGGAAAAATACTACTCTTTATGCTCCAAATATAAGATTATTCTTTATCAATCCTCACTTTTGAATCACATATTTGACTAAATCATGCTTTAACCCATCCAAGACATAATTATAGGATATCTTGAGCACATATATCATATTTACACACTAAAATGAGCTTAAAACATATCAACATATGTACATGTCACTTCTACGGATAGTTTATCTGTAACAACATCGAATTCTCTTCTACAATTTTTCGAATTGTGTTTATTTCGAGCAAGTTCATTGGATTAAATGATAGTTAAGATTGAGATTAAACTAAAAATCAATACGTCACATTGGAAGTTTAGAGACCAAATTGAAAAGCTGATAAAAGTGAAAGTTTTGCATGTTGATTATCCCAAAGTTAATATTAGTAGTTTTTTATGGACTTCAAAAAAAAATAGTAATATGATGATTAGTGTTCTTATATTTTGGAATTTACTGAAATTCCTTTAAACTATTAAAAATGTGTTAAAACAATAAAAACCGATAAAAACAATAAATATATGTTCACCATTTATGTTTGTTTCATTGCAAAAAAGAGAAATATACACCTTAAACTCATGTTTAGTCACTTTCATGTCGGAAGAAGAGAAAATTAAACCTTTGTAAGAAAAAGCTATGGAGTTAAATTTCTGGTTCAATTGGTTGAGGCCAATTTTCTCGGATAGGCGCGTTCCTTTGGCGTTTTGCGAAGTGTCGTTAATTGGAGTACCCCTGAATTATTGGAATGAAGCCTTTTTCTCCAGTCAAGCTTCAAGGTGGGGGGAGTTAGTGGAGATCAAGAAGGAAACACTACTGAAGTTGGATTGTAGAGTAGCCCAGATGGTTGTTAGGGCGACTAGTCCTTTTGATTTCCCGGAATCGATCTCCATCAACACTAACGGTAGGTTGTATGTGATAAAGATTAAGTAGAGATATCGAATGATGGTTTTCATGAGATATTGAATGGGGAGAGTGATGGAGACACAACTTCAAGAGATTTCAACAGGTGGCATGGACGCCCTCGTTCATGGAGTTAATGTTGTAACTGATACGAGGCTAATTAATTTGGTAGGGATTGATAAAGAGAGGTAGGTTAATTGTACAGTTTCTATGCAACAGATTCTGTCGGGATAAATGAAGTGGATTATGGGTTGGCAAGGGGAATTAATAGCGGGCCAAATATGCCCAATTATGGTAGGAGAATGTGGAGACTACACGGGTTGATCCAAGAACCAGCAAAGGTAGATATTTTCAACGTGGGTCTCATAAGAGATCTAGTTCTTTGGATTCTCTAAGTATTAATGGTAATCACATAAGGGGTTCAGGCGGTTTTCGAATCAATAATATCATATTAGGTAAAGATTCAATTTTTCCTTCAAGTTCTCGGAGAAGGGATCTTTCTTCAAATCATGACCGCACCTTAAAAAGGAGTGTGTCAATGGGTAGTATTGGGTGCAAACCCTTTATTAGAGTCTATAGCAGAAGTAGAGGAAGGAGAATCTCAAGAGAGAAAAAGCAGGATCGTTCAAAGTCTCTAAGTCAGTGTCCGGATGTGGATGAAGAAGTCCGGGCAAGCTGAGAAGTTAGAAATTTGACGGGTTAACCTTCCAAGGAGGTAAAAAAAACCTTTAGAAAAAGGCGAATTCTATGATAGAGGAAAGGAGGAAGGGGGTGATATTTGATCTCTAGTGGTTGTTAGGTTATTTTTTTATTTTCTATGTCAAGTTTAAGTATTTTATCTTGGAATGTTAAGGGCTGTGAGAAATTTTATTATAGGGAAGAAACCAGTGTTGATGTTTATCCAAGAATCAAAGGTGTAGGTTGTCAATCTTTCCTTACTAAGGATATTAAGAGGGAATATGTTGAGAGGATATGTGGCGTCTGCCGCGATCGAATCAGCAAGGGGCTTGATAACGTTATGGGATGAAAGTAAGTTAGAGTTGGAAACTGAATGTGCTCAAAAGAGGTTTATTGCAGTTAAAGGTAATTTAAAAGAATTTCCCGTTAAATGTTGGTTTATTAATGTGTATGGGCCATCAGTTGATTCGGAGAAATAAATTTTCTTCAAGGCATTGTTGCCTTTTGTGCTACAACTGGATTGTCCCATTTATTTAGGAGGTGATTTTAATGCATACCTATCACAAGAAGAGAAAATAGGGAGAAATCAGAACATGTTCTCGATGAGAATTTTTAACAAGTTCATGCATAGGACTAATATGAATGATCTTATTTTGTCGGGTGGTAACTTCACTTGGTGTAACTGTAACACCCTCAGACCGATGCGGATAGCCCGATCCGATCCAGGGCGTCACATTAAGGTCACCGGAGTGACCCACTATAAAAATCTCAAAAAATTTAAAACTTTTATTTAAAATATGTAACTTATAAAATCATTAATCAGTAAGCAGAATTAAAACAAATTTTTAGACTCAAATATAAAACAAAATACAATTACATGCCCCCTAATCATATGTATCATACTCTGTAATCAACGCCGGAATAACTCCATTATTGGTGTCAATAGCTGCACTGGTACAATTTTTTTAACTTGCCATGGTGAGTAATAGAATGAGCTTCGGAAAGCTCAGTAATACAAAACTACCAGATGATGCTACATGAGATGCAGATAAGTGGAAAACCATATAATTTCCTTATTGAATCAAACGTATACAAATTTTCGGGATAATCCAATGTTCCACTAGTAGTTCATCAAATTGAAGCCATGATTATCTCAGTTCATAGGAAGCATTCATAGTATGACATTTTT